CCAGCAAGTAAATTTACATAGAAATCTAAGAAATCTATTATAATTGCCCCGTGATCTGAATTTTTCCCTGTTCTCTTCTCATGATCCTAATCGTTTCACCCGCGACACCCACCCATCAATCGAGTATTATCAGAGAGTATAGATTAATTGCACTTGGCCTATAACTCTATTGCCTAGGCCTCTAGGCCAAGCCTACATTTTTTTTAGAATTCCGAAAACGCCCATAGGGCGCCTAGGCCTAGATTCTCTACCTATGATTTGGCACGGTGACAAAGAAGTTGAGGCGAGAGAGCCACACAAATGTGCGCTTTTCATCACTTCATCGCCACGCTAGACGACTTAGCAACGCGTCGCTATGTGTTTCAGTTCTGAGCCAATGAAATTCAAAGAAAAGGTGGCAAAATTTTTTGGTTGGCAACCAGAAAATGGTGACAGACTGCCACAATGGCCCGAATTTATAAGTAAATATTTTATGTCCATCTACGTCCTACAACTTGTAAGTACCCAAAAAGAGTGCCCGGAACAAAGTTGTTCTAGATTACTAAACAAGTTGAAACACGTTTTAGGCCTAGATCTACACGCACACTTCGAATTCTGTGTTGTTCGAACGCCAAAGTAAAAGTGTTGTTCTCTCTAACCGGATGCAGCGAAAAAGTTTACTGTTGTGTTTTGACTTGGCTAGGCTACGTTGGGCCTCGCTCATGTTGTCGACCACAGCTTCATCAACGGTACATCCTAATAACATCACTGGCTGGATCAGAGCCACACAAATAGGTTACGAAGGCCAATAAGTTATGGCTTCGACCGGTATTGTTGATACAGGGTCATCGAAAGCTATATTTGAACGGAATAAGATGGAGTATGAAGAAATGCGGAGGAGATTGTTGGAGACCGAAGAAAAGCTGCAAAACTTGCGAAAGCTGGAGGAGGAGGTGCAGAGTGTTAGTTCTGAAACGTAAGTCTTCTTGTCCATTTCCTACTAGATTCTAGATCTAGAATCTAGATCTAGATCTAGATTCTAGATCTTCTAGATCTAGAATCTAGATCTAAATATTGATGCTCTAAGTCTAAACATGAATATCAACTTCATTTCCGTTGCAAATTAATAGTTTTTTAAATGGCCGGCACTATTTCTCCGAACGTTCGGGAAAATAAAGCTGGGCACTATTTCTCCGAACGTTCAGGAAAATAAAGCTGGGCACTAGAATCTAGATCTATTTCTCCGAACACTCTGAAATATCATCCTTTCCCCCAAATTTCGGATATTATT